AGCTAATATCCAAAATATTTCGATATGTGGCACTAGATATATCTATGGAGATGATAAATAAAAAGCCGGCTGAAATGCGTCACTGTCGGCATCGGTTAACAGATAATGGGCCAGATCCGAGTCTATTTTTGCTGCGCTGCTCATGCTTAATTAAAAGTGAAAGCACACTTTTGATGGACAAAAAATAAATATGATTTCACACAAAAAGTGCCCAAAATGCACAGATTTTGCATGTCTAGTGTGTTTTACAGTTTTTCTCAATTGCTAAAACACTAAACCCTATTGTCTGAACCAAATGCTCAGTTGCCTGAACCCACTGATTGAATCAATCACTCTTTTGGCAAAACCATAAGCACTTTTCACCTGTTTAGACACAACTTGCCAACACATTTTCATTGTGATGCACCCGTGCTGCATAATGGTGAGCACAGGTGACAAAAGTCAAACACAATTAAAGCACAGTTGTCACCACTTGAACACAACAACTCAAAATTGATCACAATTGTGGCTAATTATGTGAGGGAACATATACAGTAAGCCAGTTCAGAGAGCACTGGTTTGTGAGGTCCTACAATGGATAGAAATCTGAGAGGATTCTGAGAGAGTTTTCACAGAGCCCTTAGAGAGTGGTTCAATATGAACCAAGGTTTTACAGTATTACTGTACAGTAATCTTTGCCTTCCACCGTACTCCCCTTTCCTAAACCCCATTGAGGAATTCTTCTCCTCATGGCGGTGGAAGGTATATGAACGCCAACCTTACACCAGGGTAAATCTCCTGCAAGCCATGGGACTTGCCTGTGGTGCCACAGGTGTGGAGGCATGCCAAGCCTGGATACGGCATGCCAGGGTTTTTGTCCCTGTTGCCTGACCAAACAAAATGTGGCCTGTGATGTGGATGAAGTCCTGTGGCCTGACCCAGTACGGAGACATGATGCTGTGGCTGAGTAATGCACTTATTTGTATATTTTTGTACTTTATTTTTACATGGGTTTACTGTACACAAGTGGCAAGCGCATACGATTTCTGTTTGTTTTTACAAGTGCTATGTGTAAATGCACAAGGTTTCTGTTTTGTCTTTTTGTACAAGTGCTAAATGCACAGTTTTTTTTGTTTTGCAACATGCATTTAGCCTACAGTGAACAATAAACATTTATTTCTCCAGCTTCATGTCCTGAGCATTGTGTTTTCTATTTTTCTACGTAGTGTTTAGTGACTGTTCAGTATTGTTTTTAATTTTGATTGACTCGGGGCACGATTTGACAACATAGTTCAGTTTTGAGCACAGATTGAACTGTTTTGAGGTGAAAGTTTGGTTTTGCAAGAAGAGTCTGAGGTTTTGTGAATGTAGCTTGAAAATTGGGTTTTGTGTTCACAGTTTAGAGAAAAGGAGAGCAGCTTTCAAGAAATGTGTCTTAGCAATCGAGAAAAACTGTAACAAGAACTGCAGTAGGCTATGTCAGAAAAGAAAATGAAGACATTTATAGAAAATGTACCCATTTAAACGTGTTTTTATTATTCAGTTTGGGTAAAAGTATATGGTGTTTTATAAAAATAAATAAAAATGGAAGTCTGCTGTAAAGTGGTTAGAAAACCGGAATCGGCTAAAATCAGAATTGGCCTAGAAAATTGTAATTGGTGGAGGAACAGGAGAGGAAGAGCAGAGGAGAGGAACAGGAGAGGAAGAGCAGAGGAGAGGAAGAGGAGAGGAACAGGAGAGTAAGAGCAGAGGAGAGGAGAGGAACAGGAGAGTAAGAGTAGAGGAGAGGAAGAGGAGAGGAGAGGAACAGGAGAGTAAGAGCAGAGGAGAGGAACAGGAGAGAAAGAGTAGAGGAGAGGAAGACGAGAGGAGAGGAACAGGAGAGTAAGAGCAGAGGAGAGGAGAGGAACAGGAGAGGAAGAGTAGAGGAGAGGAAGAGTAGAGGAGAGGAAGACGAGAGGAGAGGAACAGGAGAGTAAGAGCAGAGGAGAGGAGAGGAACAGGAGAGTAAGAGTAGAGGAGAGGAAGAGGAGAGGAGAGGAACAGGAGAGTAAGAGCAGAGGAGAGGAACAGGAGAGAAAGAGTAGAGGAGAGGAAGACGAGAGGAGAGGAACAGGAGAGTAAGAGCAGAGGAGAGGAGAGGAACAGGAGAGGAAGAGTAGAGGAGAGGAAGAGTAGAGGAGAGGAAGACGAGAGGAGAGGAACAGGAGAGTAAGAGCAGAGGAGAGGAGAGGAACAGGAGAGTAAGAGTAGAGGAGAGGAAGAGGAGAGGAGAGGAACAGGAGAGTAAGAGCAGAGGAGAGGAACAGGAGAGAAAGAGTAGAGGAGAGGAAGACGAGAGGAGAGGAACAGGAGAGTAAGAGCAGAGGAGAGGAGAGGAACAGGAGAGGAAGAGTAGAGGAGAGGAAGAGTAGAGGAGAGGAAGACGAGAGGAGAGGAACAGGAGAGTAAGAGCAGAGGAGAGGAGAGGAACAGGAGAGGAAGAGCAGAGGAGAGGAACAGGAGAGGAAGAGCAGAGGAGAGGAAGAGGAGAGGAGAGGAACAGGAGAGTAAGAGCAGAGGAGAGGAGAGGAACAGGAGAGGAAGAGTAGAGGAGAGGAAGAGGAGAGGAGAGGAACAGGAGAGTAAGAGCAGAGGAGAGGAACAGGAGAGAAAGAGTAGAGGAGAGGAAGACGAGAGGAGAGGAACAGGAGAGTAAGAGCAGAGGAGAGGAACAGGAGAGGAAGAGTAGAGGAGAGGAAGAGGAGAGGAACAGGAGAGGAAGAGCAGAGGAGAGGAACAGGAGAGTAAGAGCAGAGGAGAGGAACAGGAGAGGAAGAGTAGAGGAGAGGAACAGGAGAGGAAGAGCAGAGGAGAGGAAGAGGAGAGGAAGAGCAGAGGAGAGGAACAGGAGAGGAAGAGCAGAGGAGAGGAAGAGGAGAGGAACAGGAGAGGAAGAGCAGAGGAGAGGAACAGGAGAGTAAGAGCAGAGGAGAGGAACAGGAGAGGAAGAGCAGAGGAAGAGCAGAGGAGAGGAACAGGAGAGTAAGAGCAGAGGAGAGGAACAGGAGAGGAAGAGCAGAGGAGAGGAAGAGGAGAGGAACAGGAGAGGGAGAGCAGAGGAGAGGAACAGGAGAGTAAGAGCAGAGGAGAGGAACAGGAGAGGAAGAGTAGAGGAGAGGAAGAGGAGAGGAACAGGAGAGGAGAGGAAGAGGAGAGGAACAGGAGAGGAAGAGCAAGGGAAAGGAGAGATCTGGGCGTGGGGGGGCCCATCTAAGATTATCTTGTCCCGGGCCCAGGCAAGACTGTCAGCTGGCCTGATAGCCACTATCAGAAAGGAGCGAGTACCACCACAAAACCAGCTTCTCCCTGATGAAATTGACCCCATCACACTTGACCACCCAGCTGGCGCAGCTGTCAGAGATGCAATCACAACACAATATTTTACTTAATAAAAGCACACTGACACTGCAGATAGGTCTCAAACTGTTTTATTGGTAATGTGGCTAGGGATTACATTAATAAACATTCATAGTGTTCATACTAAAGGGTTATTTGGTTAAAAAAAAAAAAGTTCACATACTGAGATCGTTTTTTTCCAGCTGTTTGATCTCCAATTTATTTATTTTAATTTGGAGCCTCCTCAGCTCACAGTCCAGCTCCTTCAGTGAACAGTCTAGTTCTAGACTCCTTTTGTAACCCCTTCGCTGTCACCCCCCTTTTTGAAAATGGGGGTTAAAATGGACTATTCAAACTTAAATGGTTGTAATTCAAGAATGCTTTGGACTATAGACCTAAATTTGGTCTTGTTTTAAAGGAAACACTCAGCAGATTATTGCTGAAGTGAAAACACTTCAAAAAATGAAAGTATGAAAAAGTTATGGAAGTTTAAATTTACAGTAAATCAAATATACTGTACTATATATTTTTTATTTTATATAAAATAAATATATTACAAAATATTTTTTACTCTAAAATTACTATAGAATCAAAGCCATATATCTAACCAAGTTGTGTTCCAAATTTGAAGTTGATATCACAAAAATTGAAGTTCCCATGAGATTTTGTTTAGGCGTAGTACCAAATATAGCCACCGGGTGCCATTGCATTGCATTGAATTTAGTTGTATACATTCTGCCTTAACAAATTAATACATTTCTGTCCAAATATCAATTCTGTCACAAAATGTGGAACCTTGAGACTTAGACCTTTCTGACAATATGTGTTTTGTCAAGATTAGAAAAGGTTTTGATCATAAATTATGAAATATAATGATGCCCAAAAGGGGAGGAGCCTGATAAAATAATTTAGAGTACCGTTTCTTTGGTAACGCAACGTTCAATTTCAAAACGGGTTTCACCGGATGAATTCTGAGTTTGTAAGCTTTCAAATGATACCTAATTTATGATAACTACTAAAATATGTGATGTAATAAAAAAAGGCGATAAAAAAGATATTATATTTTAGAGGATAATATATATATATTTTACTTTTCAGAGGATAATATTATATTATAATTTTTTTATTGAAAAATACTAGATTATATGTTTTATTATGAACTTTTAGCATGAAAACCAAAGTTTCAATTATTATAAGTGTGTGTCAACTTTTTGTGACAAAGGTCAGAACTCCTGTTATGATGCAGATTTTTTTGAGGTGCACTCTTGTCAAAAATTCATCGGTTACTCTTCCTACATAATTTGTAGCAAAAAACAGCAGTCAAATATCTATTTAGGAGTCTTAGACCTTTCCAACCATATATAGTTTGTCATAATTAGATTAGGATTTAATAGTAATATAGCGAAGTAAAGTTAGGCGTCCCGTATACGGGACGGTGACAGTTAAGGGGTTTGTAAAGGGCCCTGACTGAGTCTGTTTCCACCTGAAACAATTCCACCACAAATAATCATTACACGTTTTCTGGAGGTTGATCAAATCACAAAAAGTGGCATGACTTTTGACAAATGTAATTTATGTCAAGGGTTTAAGGGTTTAAAGCATTACCTTGTTCACATTCCTTCTGTAGCCCATTGAGGTAGTAGAGGCTTCAGTTTCTGGGGCAGGTTGTGAAAAATCCTACAATAAAAGAGATGTGTAAGGGACAGTCACTTAATTATGACATTCAAATGTGTGCCATAATAAAAAGCCCAGTGCATTCACCTCAGCAACTGTCTCAGAACACACAGACAGAGTGTCTTCATCATTTGGTTCACCCTAATAAATAAAAGGCCAATGTAAAGCATAACTGTTATAAAGCAGGTTATGTTCATGGTGTTGTGTCTGCTGCATACTGACCTCTGTGCAGGAGACTGTGTGCTGGCTTCGACAGGGACACTGTATTTCCCTCTACAGCAGAACAGAGTCAGCCATATTTAACTCTTTTTAAAACATTAGTAATGCATTGCACACACATACCCAGTGTTACTTGCTTAGAGGAGCCAGCACCAGGGTCAGACTGTACAGCACTTGCAATCCCATCCATAATCGGCCGCCCCTTATTGTTATTCAGCGCCAACTCCTCCGCCACAGTGTATTCTGGAGGAGGTGGCCCTCCCCCAGTTTTCCTCATTTCACACTTTTTTTCTGTTTGCTGCAAACAAGTGTTTGTGATTAAATGTTCACAAAAATAATAAAAGGTTTTGGTAAATACTCACCACTTTGAATTATATTTTTATATTTTGTCTTGATCTGCTGCCAAGAACGTTTGGAGTTGGGGTTGCATCTAAAAATCAATGAATATCAATCTTTCTTAGGGTGGAAGTAATAGCCGATACATTCACATTTTACATACATCTACACACACGCATGTATATATCAGCACGAATAAACACATTTTCATTTTAGCATTTAATAAAAAAAATTATATGATAGCCTACATAAATTTACATTAATTGTTTAACTTAGCCTACGCATTAACGCAATCAGCAATCTTCCTCCAAGATTGTTCTCTTGCTTTGGCAGCAGATACAGTGTTACTGCGTGCTTGAAAAACACTTCTATATTCTTCATATTTCTGAAGAATAATCTCTTGCTCCTGCGCGGAAAAATATATAGCTCTCGCTCCATCCATATCAAACGCGATTGGTTGTTCAGTGTCGACGTCACTCTTTTATGTGCACGCGCGCGTGGAGTAATCATAGCTTAAGGATCAAAGCCTGAGTTGACAGAAAGTTGATGAGCTGCGTCATGGTACCAATAAAGCCTGATTGCATCGGTTTGGTTTTGTCAACTCAAAACCAATCCTGTAACCCCGAGTTTGTTCAACTACCATCATGGTACAGGCCCCACTACCTGGGCCTGTACCATGAAGGTAGCTGAACAAACTCGGAGTTACAGGATTAGTTTTGAGTTGACAAAACCAAACCGATGCAATCAGGCTTTATTGTTACCATGACGCAGCTCATCAACTTTCTCTGTCAACTCAGGCTTTGATCTTAAGCTATGATTACTCCACGAGCGCGTGCACATACCAAAGTGACGTTGGCACCGAACAACCAATCGCGTTCGATATGGATAGAGCGAGAGCGATATATTTTTTCCGCGGAGGAGCAAGAGATAATCATTCAGAATTACGATGAATTTAAATATGTATTACAAGCTCGAAACAATACGGTCTCTGCTGCCAAAGCAAGAGAAGACTGTTGGAGAAAGATTGCTGATTGCGTTAATGTGTAAGCTAAATACGTTCTATATTCATGTAAAATGATGTATATAGGCTTTGAATGTATGTGTGTGTGTAAAATATAGCCTATATTTTTATAATATATTAAAAAATGTGCATGTATATACTAATAAAGATTAATATTCATTGATTTGTAGATGCAACTCCAAACGTTCTTGGCAGCTGATAAAGACAAAATATAAAAATATAATTCAAAATAGCCTAGTAAGTATTTACACACAACCTTTTATTATTTTTTTATTAACACTTGTTTGAGGCAAACCGAAAAAAGAGTGAAATTCAGAAAACCAGTGGAGGGCCACTCCTCCAGAATACACTGAGTTGGCTCTGATAGGAATAAGGGACGGCCGATTATGGATGGGATTACAGGTGCTGTACAATCTGCCCCTGGTGCCGGCTCCTCGAAGCAAGTAACACTGGGTACGTGTGCGATACATTACTATTTTAAGTTTTAAATATGGCTGACTGTATGTTCTGCAGTAGAGGGAAATGCAGTGTCCCTGTTGAAGCCAGCACACACACACAGTCTCCCACACAGAGGTCAGTATGCAGCAGACAGAACACCAGAAACATATTGGCCTACTTGTATTTATCAGGGAGGAGGAAATGATGAAGACACTCTGTCTGTGTTCTGGGACAGTTACTGAGGTGAATGCACTGGGCTTTTTATTAAGGCAAACATTTGAATGTGTGGCATAAAACAGGGACTGGCCCAAGTTACACATCTCTTTTAGGATTTTTCACAACCTGTCCCAGAAACTGAAGCCTCTACCTCAACAGGCTTCAAAAGAAATGTGAACAAGGTAAGGATTTAAAACCCTTGACATATATTACAGGTGTTTGTCAAGGAACTTTTTGTGAGTTGATTAGCCTCCCAAAAACTTGTAATGATCATGTTTGTGGTGGAATTATGTTTCAGGTGGAAACAGACTCAGTCAGGGCCCTTTACAAAAGGAGCCTATGGAGCTAGACTGTACACTAAAGGAGCCTATAGAGCTAGACTGCACACTAAAGGAGCCTATAGAGCTAGACTGCACACTAAAGGAGCCTGACTGTGAGCTGAGGAGGCTCCACATTTAAAAAATAAATGCAACAGCTGGATTAAACTGATCTCAGTATGTGAACTTATTTAACCAAGTAACACTTTAGCATGAATACTTATTAATGCAACTTTCTATTGCTCTCTTTCTCCCCCCCCCCCCCCCCCCCCGGTTGGACAAACCGTGTTTTCCCCTAGATTATGTGCATCACCGATCGTGCAAGTATGCACTTGCAAAAAACGCAACGCAATACTATTTGTGGTACAGTAAGTGCATGAATTCGACGTGTTAAATAATTTATGTGCGGCTCAAGAAGTTCGCAAAGATAAGATATTCCTTCCGCAGAAAATCTGTATACATGAAATATACATCTTTCATACAAGTAACTATCAGGAAAGGCAAGGGGATTTGGTCCGGCTAAAAACTCTTTCTCTACGATGTGCTCGTCTAACAATTTGCGCTGAGATGTCCACAGGATTTGAAAGAAAATGTAAAGCCATTGCAACAAACACTGGGAATTAGTTACGTCACCTGTCACAGTGTCTGGTTGTGTTCCCTTGTTTGTCACTAGAGGTCCTCGTTATCACGGTGTCCTTCACTATTGACTTCATTTCCCAGCATTCTGTCTGTCACTGTCACTCATCAGTTCATTGCACTCAGCTGTTCCCCGTCATCATTGTTCCCAGCTGTTCATTGTTAGTCTTGTTAGATCTGTGTATATATGCCCTGTCTGTGTTTGTATGTGTACGGATTCGTTGTATAATGTCACACCACTTCCTGGTCTGCTTTCGTGTTGCTGGTTTGGTGCTTGTGCTTGGATTTGGATTGTTTGGATTACTGACCCCTGCCTGGATGACTATGAGTTTGGATTGCCCTTTAAATTAAAATTACTGCACTTGGATTTTCAGCCTCCTGTGTGTGTTCCGTGACAGAACGAATCCGTCATCCCTTAAATCCAGCGGTAATTTTCATTTTTTTATTATTTTTTGTAAGATCTCGTCCCCAGTCACTATGTGGATTCCACGTAGCGAACTTTCTCCTGCAGAGAGAGAGAATGGAATCTCTTTACTAGAATACTTTTCTAGATGTGCACAAAGGCACGAGGAGATCAGGACAGCTGAAGCCTCACCACGGGTCTCATCGAGCGCTGGGACTTCGTCGATGGTTTCGTCCAGTGCAGAGTCGGCACACATCCGTCAGAAAGGACGGAGGAGGAGGAGACTTCCGGCTGCCCAGCCAGAGACTGTTCACATTCCGTCTGCCCAGTCAGAAATTGTTCACGTCACGTCTGCCCAGTCAGAGGTTGTTCACATCTCGTCTGCCCAGCAAGAGACTGCTCACGTCCCGTCTGCCCAGCGAGTGACTGTTCCCGTCCCGTCTGCCCAGCGAGAGACTGTTCACGTCCCGTCTGCCCAGCGAGAGACTGTTCACGTCCCGTCTGCCCAGCGAGTGACTGTTCCCGTCCCGTCTGCCCAGCGAGAGACTGTTCACGTCCCGTCTGCCCAGCGAGAGACTGTCCTCGTCCCGTCTGCCCAGCGAGAGACTGTCCCTGTTTCCTCTGCCTTCCTGAACTGGGACTACCTGGAGCGTCTGGCTCGGATATTGGATATGCCAGTCACTGCTGTTCCTGAGCCGGAGGCAGAGCCAGTGTCTGCGGGTTCTGACCCGGAGGCAGAGCCAGTGCCCGTTTCCGAGCCGGAGGCTGAGCCAGTGGAACAGTCAGTGCCCGTTCCTGAGCCGGAGGCGGAGCCGGTGCTCGTTCCAGAGCCGGAGGCAGAGCCAGTGCCTGTTCCTGAGCCTGACCCAGTTTTTGTGTCTGTGTTTGTGTCTGTCTTTGTGACTGTTTTTGTTCTAGTGTCTGTTCCCGAGCCGGTGCCTGCTGCTGCTCCCGAGCCGGTGCCTGCTGCTGCTCCCGAGCCGGTGCCTGCTGCTGCTCCCGAGCCGGTGCCTGCTGCTGCTCCCGAGCCGGTGCCTGCTGCTGCTCCCGAGCCGGTGCCTGCTGCTGCTCCCGAGCCGGTGCCTGCTGCTGCTCCCGAGCCGGTGCCTGCTGCTGCTCCCGAGCCGGTGCCTGCTGCTGCTCCCGAGCCGGTGCCTGCTGCTGCTCCCGAGCCGGTGCCTGCTGCTGCTCCCGAGCCGGTGCCTGCTGCTGCTCCCGAGCCGGTGCCTGCTGCTGCTCCCGAGCCGGTGCCTGCTGCAGTTCCTGAGCCGGTGGTTGCTCCTGTTCCACCGCCCTGGCCGCTCGAGGGGTCTTCACCGCCCTGGCCGCCCGATGGGCCGTCTCCGCCCTGGCCGCCCGAGGGGTCCTCACCGCCCTGGCCGCCCGAAGGGCCGTCTCCGCCCTGGCCGCCCGAGGGGTCTTCACCGCCCTGGCCGCCCGATGGGCCGTCTCCGCCCTGGCCGCCCGAGGGGTCTTCACCGCCCTGGCCGCCCGAGGGGTCTTCACCGCCCTGGCCGCCCGAAGGGTCTTCGCCGCCCTGGCCGCCCGAAGGGTCTTCGCCGCCCTGGCCGCCCGAGGGGTCTTCACCGCCCTGGCCGCCCGAGGGGTCTTCACCGCCCTGGCCGCCCGAGGGGTCTTCACCGCCCTGGCCGCCCGAA